AAATTATATATTTTTTTTTATTAATATCATGCATTCTAGCTCCTTTCAAACCCTTTCTTTTTATTTCCTCAAAGCAAAAAAAAAAAAATCTTCATAATAATTAACGATAAATGAATTAGTATTAATAATCATAAAGCTATATTTTCCGCTCCTCCAATTTTAGCTGTTAAATGCTTCGATATCTTTCCTAAAAGCGGACATCTGTAGTGCATTCAAAGTAGAGGTTGCAAAAAAAAAAAAAAAAAAAAAAAAAAAAGTATGAATAAATATTATGATATATAGAAAAAAAAGTCCAATCTTAAAGCCAATCTTCTTTTTTTTCATTTTCTTTACCCCCCTCCCCCCTTTTTAAAAAAAATCCCCTTCTTTTTTTTCTCTTTGTTTCTTGCAAGCGACATTCGTCAGCGATGGAATTGCAACATCCTGCCTTCCTCTCGTATAGAGTTAGGAAGGATGATTATCTTTTCAGCAAGGAGAAAATAGAGGATTATTTTCTCATTCCATCGGAAAAAAAGAGGGAGAAAGACATTACGATGGATGGAAATGAGGAGAAAGAAAAAAAAAAAGTTCCGTTTTCTTTTAAAGAATTCGCATCGCTGATATGTCGCCCGTTCCCGTTTTCTCTCTTTTATTTTTTTATATTTTCCGTCCCCCCCCCTCCCTCCCCCTTTCTGTGAGTGCTCCCTGATTTCACACTCTTCGGATCCTTCGCGCCGAGACACAGGAAAAAGGGTCGTCCCTGAGTCGTCCTGTGCGGCAGTCAAACAGCTTTTCTCACTCACTCAGACACCTGTTGAACATCTGCCTTTTTGTGTCCTCGTCCCTCACTTACCACCACTACTACTACTACTACAACTACTACTACTAGTACTACTACTCCCTGTACTACTGTTGCTACCTCTACTATTTCTTGCCCCGTTTTTTGTGTCCCCGTGTTGTGTTGGTCCGCCTAACCTCTACTCCCACCCCCAAAAAATTATTTGTTTTCCTCTACCAACTCGAGACACCTAAGAACACTGTACCCCTAATTTTGCAGCCTAGCCGCATAGTATGTGTGTTGTCCGGAAATTAGTTGCCGCATATGTGTGTCATTTAACCCAAAAACATAAAAGACCAAAGGAGATTCATGTTGTTAGTTTTTACAAAATAATCCCGGTTTGTGCACATGGGTGTTAGGCCGTGTCTCAAGTTCAGGTTGAAGGTGATCTATACAGCTGTAAGTAATGATTACATGTTAGGCCGCATTAACGAGATACACAGAGTGCACACAAAAAGTATATATATAACCAGTGTAACCCATTGACAGCAAGCTCACTTGCATTGTCCTATAACTCTGAGGCGGTGGTGCATTCCGCCGCGTAACCCCTGGGCGACCGGCCCGGACGGCCGAGCCGCGCGAGCCCGCCTGCTCCCCGGCCTCCCCCGGCATACCACTGCACACCCGCCCTTCCCTCTCTCACACTAGATGTCTCAAGCGACAGGCTTGCACACAGGACTGCCCCGCCCACCAGGCAGCGCAATCAGGCAGTGATAAGTGGCACAGTGTAAAGACCTGCTGCACGAGTGGCTGCGACCGAGCGGAGACCTTTGCCCGATCGGCTATTAGAGAGCAGGTGACTCCATTACCATGCTGTGGGGCAATGACAAGGAGCCCCACCCCCGAATAGCCCCCACTGAGCTGTCCGATTGAGGTCGGCACCTCGCTTGCATAGTTGAAGCCAAGCACGAGTCCATACTGCTTGTCGTAAATTCCAGTGGCACGACCCCTGTGCGACAGGCGGGCCATAGAGTGTGTCGGGCGAACGACCGGTGCGCGAGCAAGCCACGTGCCAACAACAGTATGTGAAAAACTGGCTCTCGAGGCGTACCGCATTCGCCCGAGACAAGCAGTGTGCTACACTCCCACACAGCGCGTGCAATGCATAGCTGACGGATGCACTGCTGCTCGGTACATCTGCCCTGCTCTGCCTCCGCTAGAGGTGCATGCCGGCCACTGCGGACCCCTGCGTCACCATCTGCGTGCGTGTCCCTATCAACACGGGTGGACCGTTCCTCGGCCGTCGCCAACACGTGCTACCAATGCGTGGACCCCTGCGCCTCGCACGTCTGCCCCGGCGACACGCCATGCTACGTGGAGGACCACAAGCCACTCTGTAAATTCTGCCCGCCTGGCTTTACCGTTGACCCTGAGTTTGGATGCGTTAAAGGTAAACACTTCGCTCAGTGTTCGCGGCCATGATGCTAATATTGTATTAACCCGACTGAACGGTGATGGAGAGATAGTGGCACGTAGTTGTTGTTAGTCAGCCACGTCGACTAATGTCTGACAGAGTAGACTAATGAATATATACTCACGTACCAGTCTTGTTTGCTAATATTTCCAATTGTTTGAATTAATCAAGAGAATGTTCACTTGCAAGTCAACTCATCTAATTAACACTGCAAGTTCGATTCACAGTCTTTCTCCAAAATGAACATTCAGAATAGATACATAATACGAAAAACAAAGACCCTCAACTCTCAGTAAGTCAAAATCCACAGAGAACCTCTCAGACAAGGACTGACAAGGGACCTTAGCTCTTCATTTTATACTGTGCCAGAACATGTCACCATGAAACATTAATGGCTCTTCAGTTTTTTTTATTACCACTCTCTTATTCCATTTCCATATTTTGCAACAGACACCGATACAACCTCCCCCTCCACCCCATCCACCACCTCCCGGACGTCGTGCCGCAGTGACGCTGACTGCGGCACCACAAAACATATTTGCCTCCAAGGACAATGCACAAACCCCTGCCTGGTCGCCTGTGGGACACGCGACTGTTCCATCAGCATTGGCACTCAAAACGAAGTAAAGATCAATTGCCACGACACCTCAAAGACCACAGAACCCACTACCACACCCATTGCTGACATCGGCAAAACCCTCAGCCCCAAGGAGCCCACTCACACGGTCGGCTTCTTCACTGACAAACCCGCGACGACCGATCGCCCCCAAACACCTTTCGGATTTTCCACAACCTTTTCCTCCGTGTCTCCGGGCGTGACGCCTCCTGTCACCCCAGCCACGCCTCTGGAACCCTCTGTCACACCCCTCGCCCCTTCCTCTCACAAAACCACGCGGAGGCCGGTCAAAGGTCCCACTCGACGCCCACCCAAAATCAACACGCCCCGACCTCGACCTCCCTTCGGTGTCGAGGTCACGACCAAGCGACCTCCCATCGGTGTCAAGGTCACGACCAGGCGACCTCCTCCCTTCACAACACCTCCAACGGAGCTCCCTTTCACGCCCGCAGTTCCCGAGGAGACGCCCACACACACCACGCCCACACCGACGCGTGTAACAACACCAAGAGCTCCTCCGGTCACAGAGGACAACACCATACACCGGCCTCCCTCGACACCTAGGCCGCGCCCCTTTACACCGACCACAAAGCGCCCTAGAATAACCATCAAAAGACCTCTGTTCCCCAAGACCAGCCCTGTCCCCCCCACACAAACAGACACCCCGCACACCAACCCCCCCTTCCGCTTCACCCCCAAAACACCCGCCACCCCCGGCCCCCCGGAATCCGTCCCCACCACCACCCCCAGTTCCTCGGTGCCCAAGACGCTGGCGCCCGGCCCCAAGACGTGCACCAGCAGCGTCGAGTGCCCGAGGAACCTGGCGTGCCTCCAGAATAAGTGCACAGACCCGTGCAAGATGTCTAGTCCGTGTGGTAGCGGGTTCACGTGTCAGGTGATCAGTAACAGACTAACATGTCAGTGTCCCACGGGGCCAGCGCTAGGCTCCCGATGCCCCGAAGGTAATAATCATTTTCTCTCCCAAAATATGAGAACAAAACAAGCAGACAACCCCTTTTGTGTTGTCGTTGCTGTTTTTGTTATTTATTTTAGCTTACGCCCGCTTCCGGGTCGGCGGGAATCGTTTTCTCCCGGTGACAAATTCTCGACCAGCATCTCGAGTCTTACTAAAATGGAAAAGAAATGGCGGGACAAATAATAAAAGCCATTCTAACAATAACATCTTTCTTTTTTTTTCTTTATCATGGTCTTAACCCCCAATATTTATAGGCTCACGATGCTGGTTTAGAAAGCTGTCCGTTCTTCCTCCCTTCAGAAGCTTTTTGGAAATCTGTAGTTATTTGTAATCCCTGAACACATTGTTCGATTGGTCATATAAACAATGGCGGAGTCACTGTGAACGATACATGATCAGCTTAATTATTTGTTCTGATTTCCTCAGTTTTTTTTTTTTTTTTTCGTTTCCCCCTTTTTTAAGATCAAGTTACACGAAATAACTGTTGGTCCGCCATTGTCGGTGCATTTATTGAACAAAATTTTTCGCTTGTTCACCCCCTCTCCCTACGCTCCCCTCCCCTCCCCTCCCGAAATAACACTTATAAAGATTCCTATACAATCCCTTTTATAAATGAACACTTTACCCTGTATTATATGGTGTTGTGTGCGCGTGTGGTATTACTTGTGTGGTTCTATTGTTTGTTGTGTGGTAATTGTGTGGTTCTATCGGCCTTCTGAGTGTCCTGCTTCTCGGACGTTTTCTTCTACCCATTTTTCTAACTCGTTTTCCTTGGCCTCGGACGAAAGGGGAAACTGCACTAAAAAATAAGAACGGTGCTTCCCACTCTTCAATTCGAAAGTGCTTGGTGTACTGTTGTCCTAACCTTATTGTAATCTGTCCTTGCTATCTAATATTAGCCATTATTTTTTTTTCTCATGAATATGCTGCGCTTTTTGTCTGAAATGCTTTATTAACCCAAGTGAAGGATGGAAAGTGCTTCACCCACGCAAGGAAAAGTCTCTAGGCTTTTTGTCTCGAAAATCTGAGATGTAATGCCTTGATTGTGCTCTAACACGTATGAAACACGCCTGAACTGAGATTGTTTTTGTTTTTGTTTTTTTCTTTATTTGTTTTAACCACTGTATTGTTCGTCCTGTGTGCTTTGATGTGTACCACTTATAACAAAAAAAAAAAAAAAAAAAATCTGGTTGTGATGTTCCCATTAACACATGCGCGAGTTTTTTTTTGTTTTTCTTTTGCATGCGTTTGTTTGTTCGTTTTAGTGATCGCCCAGCATGCAGTTGTGGATGTTGCATTGTGTGCTTGCATTAACTGCATTGTGTTTGTGCATTTTGTTTGTGTCTTGTGCATTTTGTTTTTGTTATGTTTTGTTGTTAACCAATTGTGTCTCTTACAGGGCAAACTGATATATACATGAAGAGAAATATACCCGTTCCATTTCAGGAAAGAAATACATAACATTTATTAATTTGCAACATGCATCAAACAACAAATAACATAGATTATATATTCACATCCCTGACGAAAAATTACTGATATCTCATTAACAATTTACTCATAGACTGAATGATTAATTTACCAAAGATTAATTGACGGAATATCTACTCACCAATTATTAACTCATATTTTTTGTGTGCATTTAATGGATTGATCTCAAGTCGTTCATTCCCCCCCCAGACCTCAGGATTTTTTTAGTCGTTCCCGTTGAAAAGGAACGTGCAAAAACGGCGGATGGAAAACAAAATTATCCTCCCATTCATGTTTTTCTATTTTATTTTTCACTTTTTTTTTCACCTTAAAAGATATGTTTATATGTGTATGAATATATGATTTTAGTTTAGTTATTTTGTGCTGGATATAGAATACGGATTGGCAATGGAAGCAAGATAGTTGAACTCGAGGATGACCGATATTATTCTTCCTCTCCCATCTAACCGTCATTTCTATATAAATAGATAAAAAAAAAGATGAAGAAAGAGACCAAAAAAAAATGAAGAAAGAGACCCAACAAAATTATCTTGCTTTTATCGAAGTCCGTCCTCCGCTGCCCCGCGCGCCACCGAGCAGATCTAAACCATTCTCTCTCCCTCGCGCCTTGCAACGCGTAGCAATCGGATGCCGAGACGACTCCGAGTGCCCGACCAACCAGGCGTGCATCAACGAGAAGTGCCTCAACCCCTGCGTGGCTCGCAACCCGTGCAGTGCCAAGGAGGATTGCAAGGTGCAGAACCAGAGGGCCACGTGTGTTGCAGGTGAGTGCGAGGGGCCAGAGGAGGGTATGGGGGAAGGAGGGAAGGATGGGTATGGGAAGGGGGAGGGTATGGGGAGGGAGGGAGGGGGAAGGGGAAGGGAAGGGAGGGAAAGCAAAGGTGATGGGAATAGAAGGGTAAAAGGAGGGGAGGGAAGGAGGGTGGGCACACCCGGAAACGGAGGGAGGAGGGTACAGGAGGGAAGAAGGATGTGAACAAATTTACACTATTATCAGGCTTTAAATCAAGATATTTCAACATAGGAAATTGAATTGTTTCAAAAATGTTCACATGTTTCCCCTTCTTTTAAAAGGTGATTTTTTTTTATTTCCTTCTTATTACACCTTCCATTTATTTCCCTTTATTTCTTCACTTCAGATCTTATATATTTGTAAATATATATATTTTTTTCGAATGGGAATACGTTTGTGGTCCTTCTTTTGTTCTTATTATGGTGGTTTTTTGTTATTGTTTTTTTCCGTTTATCATGTTTTTTTGGTAATGGCATTTTCCTATTTCTCCTCTCTGTCATGTTTTATTTCTCAATTCTTCGCATCGAAAAAAAATGTTTCAAAGGAGAAGAAAAACAATTATATGTTTTTTTCTCCCTTTTGTAAATAAAAAAAGCGCTGGTTTTTACCCCGCCAGTTCACCCACAGCTGATTCTAAGACACCCATTCCCCCTCTCGAACACCTTAAGGAACAGTCATTGTACAAAATGATAAAAAGAAGAACGAAAAATTATTGAAGGATATATCTCTCTCTTCCAAACCCCCTTTCCTACTCCTTTTATCCTCCCACACCCACCTCCTATTTTCCTCCCTTCTCCCCTTTCCCCCATTTCCTTCCCATCTCCTATTATCCTCCCTTCTCCCCTTTCCCCCATTTCCTCCCACCCCGCCCACGACCCCGCCCACAGTCGGCTGTCGCAGCAACACGGACTGCCCCAGCAACGAGGCGTGCGTGAACCGAGCGTGCGTCTCCCCGTGTGAAGTCAGCGACCCTTGCGTGTTCAGCGAGCGATGCGAAGTCAGAGATCACATCCCCTTCTGCATCTCAGGTAGCTCGCCCCTTACCTTACCTCACCTCACCTGCCCATAACCCCCATACCCCCCTCCCTCCCCCCCCCATATCCCTGTCCCCACGGCCCCTGTGAGGCATCCGTCCCCATACCGCCACCTCCAGAAATTCCCCCCCCCTTTTTTTTTATCCCCCTTTCCTCCTATTCTCTTCCTCTCCCCTTCATCCGTCCCTGATAGAGAATTCCCCTTCTTATCCCCCTCCTGTTGTCCCCCCCACCCCCCCCCTCCCCCACCCCACGTCCCCGGTAAGACTGACGTAACTGACAGTGTCCTCCTGGCCTGACGCGAGATTCCCGTGCGACTCTCATTAATTCCGCATATAATCCGAGCGCGATTATAGAGTATTGTTTGCATAACCCGTAATTACTATTAACTCCTCCCTAATTGCCGTAGACGACGTTGCTCAATTAAATGTTTCTTATCGCTGCCACATCAAGGCCAAAGCTTGAAGATGGTGCAGTGAAATCTCCTTTTTTTATCGAAAGTAACTGGATATCCGTAATGAAAAAGAAATTTATACACTAACTGATTAACCAGCAAAAAAAAAAAAAAAAAAAAAATCGCCTACTTTACTCTTAACCGTAATTTCTAATCTCAACTTCTAATCTCAGCTTCCTCTTCTCAGTTAAAGATCCCTTTCATTTCCCGATGAGATCTTGATCGATGCTAACTCTCCCAGCATCATGAACTTGACTCCTTGCTCTGCCTCTGGGATGTGCATGTGGTTTCTCTCTGCCGTTCTACCTTAGCCTTTTATTTCCTTTTGCTTGCATGCATTTCCTCCTGATGGTAAGTCGCTCTTGAAGCACATTTCCTCGACCTCAATATGTGACGATGACTTAGTGTTCATCCCTTGGAACGACGCCTTGAGCTTTTAGAGATAGTTTTTTTGAACAAGTGATTGTACTGAGACTGATGCTTAAACCTGCTGCGAATTCCGAATCACAGGGAACGAGGGAGTTTTCGACGTCGAGCAGTTGTTGGCTACTTTTGGCATTTTAAGAGGGGAAAATTCCCAAAATTCTTGAGCATTTGTTGGCTGGATTCCATGATTCTTTGGCCACTTTTTGGCTAGACTTCATCTCTGTGGTTCGCTAGCATTCGCAGTGGGCTCTAGACGACGCGCATATGCAACATAGAATTAACAGCAGGACGCAAGCCTCTGTCCTTTCGCGGAAACGCTGGGTTGCTTAACAGCCCGACGTTTCGAACCTTCAAGTCTTCTCTCTGCAACCTCAAATAATGATAGCAAGTCAGGATCCATGATTCTGAAGAAGAAAAATGAACGAGTTATCAGTCAGAATCCATGACAGTTTTAGTTCTGTCACGAGAGACCGTCATGAGAGAGACTTGAAGGAAGGACAGAGGACGCCTGACTTGAGCTGCTTGACGCTTGTGCCGAACAGACTTCGAGTGCCGACGAGACGCGGACTGCCCGTGGAACGAGGCTTGCTTCTCGGGGCACTGTATGAACCCCTGCATCATGACGGAGGCGTGTGGCCTGGGCGCCGACTGCCGCCCGCTGCTGCACCGCCCGCGCTGCTCTTGCCCCCCGGGCTACACGGGCGACCCCAAAGTTCGGTGCACGCCCACCACAACGCCCAAAACGCCCACAGGTAACAGTGCCACCGGCGCTCACACCACCACACCACACAGTAGGATCGCGACAAGGCAGTTACACCTGATAGACTTGGGGATTGATCCTTATTTCCTTTCGAGTTGGAAATAAAGCGCTGAAGTCACGAGGGAATAGATATCCACACATTCAAATTCGGAGCAAAACGTAACGTATTTACACAGCCTTTAAAAACCAGCTCTCTCTCCCAATCTACACTCCCATCCCGGAATAGCCATACCACTTGTGAAACTAGACCAAAATACCATATGCACAGGACTCAGAACTCAGCTTTACAATTTACACTCGCATTCCCCAACAGCAGGCATTCCTTTCTTAGCAGCATTGTAGAGACAGACGACCTCCACGCACCCTTAGACCCAGCAGACCGCAGAAGTAAAGCTTTAGCACTTTGACAGCTTATTAACTGACTTGACTTAAGCCCCTTGATGTCACCCTCGACTGACTTCTCTCCCCTTTTACGATTTTATCTAGACTTCCTACTTTAAGGTTTACTATTACTGTTCTCGATTGATGTCAGGTGATGTATTTTCACTTTTGTTTCTTGTTTTTTTCGGGAAAAAAATAAAAAGAGGTTTTGAAATATTGTATTTAGATTTAACTCTATGAACACTTCAGCACACAAAAAATCATGAAATACGTACATACACTTTCCAAAAAGCACACGCATGACGAATCTTGACAATTGGCTATTACAGAATGTAACTGCCAGTCCAACAGTGACTGCCCCGCCCCCTTCACCTGTGACGGTTGTACCTGCAAGCCACGTAAGTACCATTTACGTCCTCTGTCTGTCTGTCTGTCTTCCTAGTTGCATGTCTGTCCAAAAGACATTACTCGTCCGTGTCTTGTTCCTCTGTCTGTTTTATTTCTTTGGTCTGTGTGTGTTTCTATGTGTGTATGATTGAATCTCTTGATCTCTCTGTGTTTGTTTGTTTTTTGGTGTTTTCCCTGTGGGACGTATCAACCATTATTAATTTTCTTTCTATTTTTTTTTTTTTTTAATGAAGGTTTGGTCTTCCTTGTTATATTTTTTTTTCTAACTCTGATCTTTTCAGTTATTTATAGATGTGTGATTGTGAATATTTCTTAATGGTATTTGGGTGCTAATTTCAGTGGATCTTTATTTCCATGCTAGTATTTTTTTTCAGTTATATAATTTTGGTAAATGGATTTATGATTTTATAATGCAGTAGGATTAACTAAAAAAAACATATCAGTTATCAATATCATAACACTGGTTTTATTCAATTATTAATTAACTAACATTTCAATTATGTCTTCGTAATAATTTCAAAACGCATCAGTCATATGTAAATATTTTTTTTCATAATCTAACGCATTTTCACTCAAAGACCTTACAAATGGCTGTCTTTTTCTGATATAACATTTTTTTTTTTTTTTTTCTTACAACTTTCTTCTCCTTCGTCATCACCCGGTGTTGCTGGTGGCGCTGCTTCCTCCACAACTTTGTAAGTTGATAACCTCTTGTTTATGAGGTTGTGGGAGAGAATTTTAACAGTCATAATACCATGTTGATTTAGTGCTTTTTGTTTCTTTTCATGAGTTTTATATTTTTTCTGTTTTATATGATAACCCCGTCGCATTTTTTTTTGTAATTTGACTTCCCATTTTCGTGCATCTTCCGTTTTCTATTGCATACTAACCGTTTTCGTTCCTTTCTTCCCGTTTTCTTTCATGTAGAAATCTCGGACGCAGTGGGTTGCAATCCCCCTTGCCAAGGCGACGAGGAGTGCGACGAGGCGGAGCTCATCTGCAAGCCAGGTAAGTCGCGACCTCGTCTTGCGTTTGACCCAGGATGACCTGGCGTCGATTTCCACTCAGTCAACCCACCTCGCCCTCATCTGCTGTGAGTAGGAGCCGCCGACGTCGAGACTTCCAAGCAGAAGTTCCTCCCGACGTCTGGGCTTCCATCTCCGGCGGATGAGGGCGTGGCTTGGTTGCTGACGTCATCGTTAGGGCTCATGTATCAGCCATTTGTTTAAATTCCTGTGAACGAATCCTTTAACTGCTACTACTATACTGCTCGCTGTATGTTGGGCATCGGATGGTGTGTGGTTCGGCCTGCTGGTTCCCGCGTGGCTTTCAATGCGCAGAGAATGTGACTAACCGCATCGTGCCAGACCTTAGCGAATGTCATAGTCAACCTAACTAACTGACCCCCCCCCCCTGATCCCCATCCTCGAAAACCATAACCTCCTCAATCCTGAAAGGGGTAACCCTAGGATAACGCGTAGGATTAGGAAGAGGCCGCTGTATTAAAGAGCGAGAGGGTTGGACTGCAGTGTCCTCTCGCCGCATTAACCTAATCCTCGAATGATTAGAGAAAAAAAATCCAAGCCAGCATCACCAATCGGCTTGGAGCTAACCCCGCATGATGAATGCAACGCTTCGAGGCTGCAGCATGTGCGTGCGTGCGTGCGCTTGTAACCAACAGCTGCCCTGCGTGAGTATTACACACCTGGCTCGCGTGACGTCACGTTGTATCTGGCCGTGTGTGTGTGTGGTGTGTGTGTGTGTGTGTGTGTGTGTGTGTGTGTGTGTGTGTGTGTGTGTGTGAGAGAGAGAGAGAGAGAGAGAGAGAGATTATAGAAATTGTGACGTCACGAGCTTTGCTGGCACCAAACCGGCAGCTGACAACTGAAGCTTCTTGGGTCTGCGCTGTCAGAACGCAGCTTGCACACTGTCTGTCCTCAAAAAGTGTTCGTGAATGCCGTTGCTTGTGTTGCACTAACCCAACGATCATCTGTGGGAGGATCCATACCATATCTTTGGCTTTTTCATCATTCAGATTTATTCATTCATATCCAAGGGACCAAGATATGGATGGATGCTTTACCTGTGTACCTTGAGGAATTTGATTCACTGGTATACCTGCACCCACGCGGATGACGCATGCGTAAATGTGTAGTTACATGATGTTTGTGCCTTTGTGCTTCCCTGTGCCTGTCTTGCCGTTGCTTGCATTGTCTATAATTCCATTACTTGCATTAGCCATTAAGCCTTAAGTAAAGCTCTCTGTAACAAAGCCTTTTTTTGCACTGACATTTTTCTTGATTGATTTTAATTGTTCTTCGTTGTTGTTCAGCGAGCAACTCTGTTTTGTAAGTAGCTTTTAAGTACAGTTCTTCTGTACAGCACTGGCTGTTGACTGTTCTTCCCACCTTTTTTTAAATATGTGCAGCATATTTGTTATTTTTGTTTACATTTCGAACGCCCGCGAAAATTTCCCGACATAAACGCTTCGTCACTCCGCCAATTTCGTGCGGAGTGAGGCCATAATCGAATAATTTTTAGCATGTATGAGTATTGCTTGAGAATGATGAATGCTTTTTCACTTTGTGCAGCATGTAAGCGGCCCAGTATTTCTTTTGATGTATTTTTGTTTTGTTGAGACTAACCTTCCCTGCCTTATCCTTTTTTTTTTTAAGTCTGTGTCTCATTTCCCTCCCTGCCTCCCCCCTTTTTTACGCTCCGGATGATTTAGTCTCCCCTCCCTTTCCCTTTGAGCTGAGGGTCCTTCTCGACTTGAGGTCTACTTTTTATTTATAGATTGTTAGTGTTCTCCTCCCCCTCCCCAGCTCTAGACTCTTTTTTTTTTTTAATTCTTAAGTTCTCCCTTCCCGTCCCCTTGTTTTCTATGATCCAGTCTGCTTCGTAATTTCCTCCTCCCGTTTTCTATAAATTCCTGCCTACTAATTTCACCTCCCTTTAAAACCATTACTCATGTTTGATTTGTATCATCCATTTACACACTAACACAAAAATAAGTACATATTAACACTGAACATCATATATCATGAACCTGGTGATGTATTATGGAAAAGTAACATTGATTAATAGAGTAACAGTACTGTATATGCATGAAGCTAGACGTATATTTGGACTAGAGTAAAAGTATCGTAGAGGATTCATAACATATTGCATTAATATAGAGCTGATCGTTTTAATGATTGCAATGTGATTTATAATAGAAAGTTTAGGCAAGCTGCTTTTTTTAGTTGTTGTTTTTTTTGTCAGCTTACAGTAATAGCATTGTCAGATATCCAAGATCATGATTTTGGACCCCAAATATATGACCTATTGCTTAACTGAGAAAAAAGATATTCCATGTCTCTTAAAAGAAAAAAAAATATATAATGATAATATATTAGGTAAGATATGTATAAATATGAGAGAAAAACAACCAAGTTTGACCTTTAGGAGTGGACATTTGACAAGAGAATGTGTAAATACGACCAAGAATTTAACGTAGAATTTAACTTTCTGATCAACAAGACATGACTTACTGGTAGACCCCCCCTCTTCCCCGGCTTCTGAGATGAAGGAAATAGAGAAATAATAGACTTTATAATACTTCGAATTAAATCATGCTAGATAGAATAACTTGATAGAGCTGTATAGAAATAGAATCAGCTTCCAATAGTTACTTTAACACCTGTCTAACTGCCCACATTGATACTGTAAATATTAACTTTAGAAACAGAATAATAGCACCATTAATGATAGTTACTAGCCGATAATCTATTTAATAGCTAATAGCAAAGTATTAGACACACCTAGCTGTATGAATGACGAAATGTACAGTATGGCGTCTGTGTTTCGTTGAAATTTTTCTCGATCTGGAAGTTATTGTAGATTAATGATCATATGTTCTCCCCGACTTACCCCCCCCTGTAGTGACGCAAACGACCCTAACACGTTTGTTAACAGTTTGGTAATTAAACGAATATAACGAGGTGTTTCCCCATTTACTGACTTCACGACGCATGTTGCTTAACGCACTCTAATATCCAGGTCCCATGGTTCAGCGCCTTCGTTATGATGGCCGTGTGTACAGTGGATGTTGGAAAGTTGTTTTTTTATGAGAAAGAAAACGGAGAGACGATTTTTTTACCCTCCACACAACAGAGTCTGACCTCGGGGTTCGCATGCTGACACGGTTGTCGTTGTATTTTTTCTTCCAGCTCTAACCACCAGTTCGTTCACCACTCCTACCACCACCACAGCTACACCCGCCACCACACTCTCTGACGACACCTCCACCATTGCCACCCCGCCCACAGAACAGCCGGGTGTTCCTAGTTTCCCCTCCGTCCGTCCTTCCCCTCCCCTGCACCCTCCCTCCCACCCCCCTGTTGATGGAGTCACGGAAAGCGACCAGTACACTTCTGAGTCCTCCATTCCTCGGGGAGACCGGGACGACACTGCCTACCCCGGCTGACCAGGCACGACCCACCGTGCCAGTCGTCGGACCAGAGGTAGAGCTGACCACTGAACACGCTGCCATGAACACGACCTCTTTTGTGTCCGTGCATGTGTCCACAAGTGTGTCCATCTCCGCCACCATGTCCCCTGGGGTTTCACGACCGACCCTCCCGCCGGTGGGAAGTGAGGTCGAGACGGAAGCCCTGGAGGCCATGGAACCTCTCACTGCCGCCCCCGAAACCACCACGCCCTCGGTCGTCACCACCACAGACCACGAGGCGCAGCCGAGCGAGGCCGTGACTGACACCCCGGACAGCGGTCACTTCACGCCGCACTATGGCGACGAACCTTACGATGCCGCCATGGCCTGGCACGACAGACCCTATGGCCCTGGCACTGGCGAGCTATACGGTCCTGGCACTGATAGACCCTATGGTCCTGGCACTTATAGACCCTATGGCCCTGGCACTGACAGACCCTATGGTCCTACTGACAGACCCTATCTGGCACTGACAGACACTAAGCACTGACAGACCCTATGGTCCTGGCACTGACAGACCCTATGGTCCTGGCACTGACAGACCCTATGGTCCTAGCACTGACAGACCCTATGGGCCTGGCACTGACAGACCCTATGGAGCACTGACAGACCCTATGGTCCTGGCACTCCTGCACTGACAGACCTATGGCCTGGCTGACAGACCCTACCTGGCACTGGTGGGGCACTGACAGACCCTATGGCCTGGCACTGACAGACCTACTGGTCCTGGCCTCCTGGGCACTGACAGACCCTATGGTCCTGCACTGACAGACCCTATCCTGGCACTGACAGACCCTATGGCACTCCTGGCACTGACAGACTGGCACTGACAGACCCTATGGTGGCACTGACAGACCCTATGGTCCTGGACTGACAGACCCTACTGGCACTGACAGATGGTCCTGGCACTGACAGACCCTATGGGCCTAGCACTGACAGACCCTATGGTCCTGGCACTGACAGAACTGACCCTATGGCCTTGGCACTGACAGACCCTATGGTCCTGGCACTGACAGACCCTAGGCACTGACAGACCCTACTGGCACAGCCTACTGGCACTCTATGGTCCTGGCACTGACAGACCCTATGGTCCTGGCACTGACAGACCCTATGGTCCTGGCACTGACAGACCCTATGGTCCTGGCACTGACAGACCTATGGTCCTGGCACTGACAGACCCTACCAGACCCTATGGTCCTGGCACTGACAGACCTACTGGTCCTGGCACTGACAGACCCTATGGTCCTGGCACTGACAGACCCTATGGTCCTGGCACTGACAGACCTACCCTGGCACTGACGAGCCATATGGTCCTGGCACTGACAGACCCTATGGTCCTGGCACTGAGACCATATGGTCCTGGCACTGACAGACCTATGGTCCTGGCACTGACGACCCTATGGTCCTGGCACTGAGACCCTATGGTCCTGGCACTGACAGACCCCTGGCACTGACCCCTACTGGTCCTGGACTGACAGACCCTATGGTCCTGGCTCTGGTCCTGGCACTGACAGACCCTATGGTCCTACTGGACAGACCTATCCTGGCACTGACCCTATATATCCTGGCACTGACAGACCTATGGTCCTGGCCCCTATGGTCCTGGCACTGACAGACCTATGGTCCTGGCACTGACAGACCCTATGGTCCTGGCACTGACAGACCCTATGGTCCTGGCACTGACAGACCTATGGTCCTGGCACTGACAGACCCTATGGTCCTTACCCTATGGTCCTGGCACTGACAGACCCTATGGTCCTGGCACTGACACCCTATGGTCCTGGCACTGACAGACCCTATGGTCCTGGCACTGACAGACCCTATGGTCCTGGCACTGACAGACCTACTGGTCCTGGCACTGACAGACCTACTGGTCCTGGCACTGACAGACCCTATGGTCCTGGCACTGACAACCCTATGGTCCTGGCACTGACAGACCTATGGTCCTGGCACTGACAGACCCTATGGTCCTGGCACTGACAGACCCTATGGTCCTGGCACTGACAGACCCTATGGTCCTGGCACTGACAGACCCTATGGTCCTGGCACTGACACCTGGCACTGACAGACCTACTGGTCCTGGCACTACCTATGGTCCTGGCACTGACAGACCTATGGTCCTGGCACTGACAGACCCTATGGTCCTGGCACTGACAGACCCTATGGTCTGGCACTGACAGACCCTACTGGCACTGACAGACCCTGGCACTGACCCTATGGTCCTGGCACTGACAGACCTATGGTCCTGGCACTGACAGACCCTATGGTCCTGGCACTGGACACCTATGGTCCTGACACCCTATGGTCCTGGCACTGACAGACCTACTGGTCCTGGCACTGACAGACCCTACTCC